CATCAAATTCCTCTCGTATCCAATCCCTACAATCCAAAATCCTTCGTAAAATCCTTAATGCTCCTTACTTTGTCACAAATAAAATCATCCATAATGACCTTAATGTACCACATGTTTCCGATTTAGCTCAATCCAGATACCTGTCCTTTCATAATAAACTTCTGAACCATCCGAACCCTCTCGTTTCCAAGCTTGCTTCCTCTTCGATTCCTGATCCACATTATGCTCGTATGTTTTGTCTAGCATTTGTCTTACAGCAAAGATGTGATCCAATGATGACCTATTTTTTCTGAAACCACATTGATATTCTCCGCAAATTCTTCCTCCCCATGACGTTAGTCTCTTACTAATAGCAATGGAAAGGACTTTATATACAGTTGGCAGTAGTGCTATACCTCTGTAGTTATTGCAGTTCAACTTGGCTCCCTTTTTAAAAATAGGGCATAGATCTGCAGTGATCTATTCTTCAGGTATGGTTTCTTGCACCCAAATCATATATATGAGATCGTAGAGCTGTTTAGTTAATTCTTCACTTCCATTCTTAAAGCTCAAGCTTAAAGCTCTGCTTGTATTTCATCCACATCTGGTGATTTGTTGTTCTTTAAAGACATAATTATTTCCTCTATTACTTCCTTTATATATTTATTGAGAGGTATTACAATCCATCACAAATAAGGACATTTATAGTATTGTTCAGAGAGCACATTCACGCTCTATCAATAAATAATATACAAAAAACAATAATACTAAAATTAAATGTATATAAACTAAACTAAACTAATAAAAATAACTACTCAAACACATACATGCTTCTTTACAATATCCAAAAAGATGATAAAATCATTCAGTCAAGATCTCCGATCCAAGCCTTTCTCCCCTCTCGTGGAAGGAAAGGTAGGATTCTAAGAGATCCCAGCACCTCTAAATCAGCCGCATTACTTGTATTAAGGACCAGTAGATGCTGATCAGAGGCGCTATAATCACATATACATGGCTTGAGTGGGAAATCTGGCCATTGTCAAAACTCCAATGTATACTTATTCACAAAAAGTCTCTGGGCCATTGCCGCTTCAACCTTCGAGGATGATTGTAGGGATGGGTAGTGCTGGATAGGGATTGTGCAAGGGGATTTGGATGATAGGTAAGGTTCTGGTGAAATGTGGAGAATTTTTCTTGGATAAAGTCTAAGACAAATAGGATATTAAGGTCATGGTCTAGGGTTTTGTTGGTTACATAGAATGGAGCATCAACTATTGTTTGAAGGACTTTAGATTGGAAGTATTTGATGCGTTTTTTGTTAAAAAATTTTGCTGCCCCCCACAGTTCAAGTCCGTATGTCCACATAGGTTTCAGGATTGTCTTGTAGATAAGTGATTTTTTTTTCAAATGAAAGTTTAGATTTTCTGTTCAATAGTCTGTAAAGTTGGCCGTATCGTCGGTTGAGTTGTTGTCTTTTGGGTCTAGTATGTGTGTTTCATGTTAGTCTTCAGTCTATAAGAAAGCCAAGATACCGGACTGTGTCTGAGAAAGGAAACTGGATGGAATTAAAGTGTACTGGTGGACAGGAATTGCGTCGGAGTGTGAAGATAATGTATTGGCATTTGGATTCATTTATTTTATACACCATTTATTACACCAGTGCTCAATCAAGGAGAGGTGCCTTTGCAAATTTAAGGAGGCAATTTCAGAATCAGAGTTGGATGATAAGATTGCTGTGTCATCAGCGAATGTTTGCAAGGAATGTATCGGGATGAACAGGGATGTCAACGGTAAACAGGATGTAAAACACGGGACCTAAGACGCTGAATGGGGAACACCGGCGTTAACGGGATGTATATCTGAAAATTCTGTTCCACAGCGAACTCAAAAGGAGCAGTTAGAGAGGTAAGATCGGATGACTAGGTACAAGGACTGAGGTAAATGGATTTTAACCTTGATGAGCAATCCGGCGTGCGATACCCGGTCAAATTTCTGTGCTATGTCCAGAAATGCACCCGAACAGTATTCGTTGTTTCTTAGGGCTGAGGAAATATTATCAACATCTCTGAGTCCTTTTTGAACAGTAGAATGTTGGGAGCGAAAACCAGACTGATAGGAAAGAAGATTTTGGAATTCTGTAGGATGTACAATTTGTTTTAAAAGGATTTTTTCAAAGATTTTTGAAAGAATTGGGAGTAGGCTAAAAGGTCTGTAGGATGTCAAGCAGTTAGGATGTTTGCCTGTTTTTGGGAATAGGATAATACTAGAATGTTTCCATCATAGAGGGAAATGAGTGGTGAGATGGATGCAATTATAGATTTATGTAAGGAATGGGACTGCTTTGGATGAAAGTTGTCAAAGGATGTGGAGGGTAACGAGATCATAGCCAGGAGATGTTCGGGGGATTACTTTTTGTAGTTGTAATTTCACTTCGAAAGGATGAATCGCTTTAGGGGGCAGGGAGAGTGAGATATGTGATGTAAGGAATTCCTCGAATGTTACGGTGTGGGTAGCAAGGGATTCCAGATGGAGAATAAATTTATTGGAGAGATGTTTGGCGAACTTCTCGGCTTTATCTTCGTCAGATGCTACCCAGGAACCGTTATCTCGTCGGAGGTAATAGGAAATAACGTGAGGTTTTAGGATTGTCTCAGTGGTTTTCCAAAGGCAATTGTCATGAACAAAGAGGAAGGATAGGTAGGAATTAAATGATTCGGATCTATAGAATGCTAATTCCCGCTTTACTTTTTTACAGTGGTAATTATAGGAGCAGCGATCAGCGGGATGTTTGGTATATTGCTCAGCTGGCACGTCGCTTCATATGTCTAAGAACTAAGAGGTATTGAGGTAAATGGTTTTGCTTAGGATTTCTTGGGAAGTTACTTGGGTAGGTGGCAGTCCAGGTGGCTTGTTGGATTGAGGTAGTAAAGGAATTGACAGCATTGTCAAGGTCATCTGGAGTTTTGAGAGATATATTAATTCTATTTTGCTTTAGATGAATAATCTCACACGCTGAAAAACAAGGAAATTCTGAGGCGGCGCATTTGATTTGACCCAAACAAGGAGGAAATTTGGTGAACAGTATAGAAATTACTTAGTATCAATTTCATTTAATTCCATTTAATAATTAAAATTAATATAAATAATGATTATCAATATAATGGCTGTGAAAAGTGGAAGGCACTGATCATATGGAGTGAGAGTTAGGTTATTACAATATTGTTATGTGGATATAAAATTTTAGGTTTTATTCAAAAAGTTAATTTATACTGTATTGTTTAGTCGGTTCCAAACGTTACTGGCGTGACACACTTTGCCGTTACATAGATTTCGTGTAATTTTCAGTAAATTTAAAGGAATTTTTAATCTGAATTTAAAAAAAAAAAAAACATCTAGTTTATTATAATGGTTCCATTTTGAAGAAAAAAATGTTATATCATTACTATAATTCCTTCGATTTGGACATTTTCTTATTTATCTTGTGGGCGATTTAATCATCTTTGAAATATATATGTATGTATACAAATATACATAAATTGCATACTTTTAGAGTTGGAGCACTGCGATGTCTGTGAGAGTTCGTTCAAATCAGAAACCAAGCTGCATAGAATTACACCTAGCAAAAATATCGAGGAAAAGTATTATCGCTTTATTTGCCAAAATAGGAAAACTTACAGATCGAGAACTAGTTGTGGATAAAGGTCCATTAATAACCGCGACAAAAACAAGGAAAAATTAATTGAAGCATTGCTACTGGAAAATATCAGCTTAATAACTCAATTAAAACGATGAAACTAGGTTTAAATGAAGTAGAGCAGGTCACTCTCGCTCTCCAGAAATTAGTGAAATTCCGAAAACACCTGACGGCTTCTCGTAAAGTTTCATATGGAACTCCGATGGCATTAGCTGCATATCTAATGGAACGTCCATCAATAATAAGTGCCACACCACGCGCAACATCCTCAGTACTAAGAGGCATTTTTAAACTTGAAATTGAAAAAATTAAAAGCTGTAAGAAATGTGCTGCAAGAAACGGCACTGAACTAATGATACTGAATAAACATTATGATTCCATAGAAAGCAAAAATATTGGAATCTAGAATCATTTCATTAAATTAAGAATTAAGGGTTATTGTCCTCTTTATTAACATTCCTAATTGAAAACAAACAAAAAGATTACCTATGTATTCATTAAAAACAATAGACCAATCCAAAGCAAAAATATTTTTAGATGAAAACATGAAGAAATCAAGTGGGTGGAATTTTTTGCCTGTCAGTATACAACTAATTCCTCAAATTTGATGGCTTTAATTTGCATGTATTCTGTAGCTCAGATTGTAATGTTTTTTATCATGATAAAATAAACTATATAATAAACCAAACAATCTGTATTATACAGCGTACCTTATTGACAATTTGTAACCATAATATATATTCAACTTGTCCAGCTTCATATAAGATCAACAATAATTTGAGCCTTTTATTGTATGTATTTCTAATATTTTTATTGTACTTTATTTTTTTGCTTCATTTTCTATTCCATTTTTAAAAACTTTATTTGGTATTAGGAGAGTAGCAGGTAACTGGAGCTTAACACATGTATAATTAAATTAATAGCTGTATAATTTGTATGATAATCTCCTACATTCCTGACACTAAAATAAAATACAATATGAAAGTGACTAAAACCAATAACAGAGAGATTTATTTTTAAAATAATACTGTCCTTTCTTTTCCATGCTATTGTTTTTTTCAGTATATATCTTGATTTAAATAATGACTATTGTGCTCTCTATACCTAGCCCCCAAAATTTCCATTACTTTTTTAACAATTCTCAACGATCATTTAAATAATAGCGCACATTTGTTTGATTTATTTCATTTATGATTGTATAAATGAGTCTGCTTAGATGTAACATTAAGAAAAGTAAGTCACTTTGTTTACTTTAAAATGTTTATAAACATAACCTTAATTTTATGAAATACGGTTTTATTTAAATTATATTTTATCTGTTAAATAGATTTTTGACGAATACGTGATACACCTCGATGAGAGAATCTGGATGTTAATAATTATGCCGTTTGAGATGCTACTTAACTGCATACGAGATCTGAAAATACTTGCGCCAGTTTCAACACTCGCTAATATAATTATGTTCACTGGAATAGGCATCATCATGTACTACGTCTTCTTAGATCTCCCTGGACTAGATGATCGAAAGCTAATGACTTCACCCTTAAATTGGCCAAAATTATTCGGTACAGCAACGTTTTCCTTGAGTCCAGTCGCACTGGTTTGTATTGACAGTTTTATGAATTGGTATTTAAAATTAATATTAATTTTAAACATTAATTTATAGATATACAACCACATCAGTGTCGTACCGATAACTATTTACATATGTAATTGACTGATTGTAGTCAAATCCTTATCCTATCTAATGATTTGTAAATCCTTCTCCGTTTATCATATCTTCATCAAGCTTTCAGAGATTGCGGAGGTTTATGCTAAGATGGTCCCAAATTAATTTTATCAAATTTCAAGAGATTAAAAAAAATTTAGATTGTATTTAAATAATACAATACATAACTTGAAACTCAAGTTTCTGGCTGATCATTGGTTTCTAGCAGCTATGTAATGGGTAAAGCTTACCATAATAATAGAGTGTATAAAAAAAAAAAAGCCATTTTGTCAAATTACAGATTTCAAAGGACTGTAAATATTTTAATCTCATTTAATACTTACCAATACTTAATAATCCTTTAAGCATTCTCTAAGCTTGTTTAATCTCATTCGACTTCTTCCAAAAAAGCTTCAGGTTAGTTATGTGTTTCAATGAAGAAATATGACAAGTCCTACGAAATTCTCGCAATTTCAAGCCATTACTAGCAAGAAAATTACAAATCTCTGAAGCAACTCGTGAAATTATTAAATATGAAGGGAAAGGTGACCTTGACCAGTGCACTGCGTGGCGTTGGTTTGAAAAATTTAGCAATGAAGATACGACGTTGGAAAGGAAGAAGGGCACTGGGCGACCATTAATGGATATTGATGAGGTTCTGCAGGAAGCTGTTGAGTCAAGTACTCGTGAACTTTTTTTTTTTGGGGTCCTTCAATTCCTCGCCATTAAGGCTATACGGGATTTTCCCGGGCCAGGGGGTGTGAGCGGGGATTTAAAAGACTCCCTCGGCACCGGGACGCGAACTCGTGACTATTTTTATATCTTTGATTTATATATCAGGTTGCCGCGCAACGGCGGTGCAGTGCACACGCTTTAGCCCATTCGGCCACCCCGCCCACCAAACAGGTAATCGCGAACTTGCCAGGCAGTATAGTAATTCGAAAGATACTGTTACTTGCCATCCACTCTCCATAGGGAAGGTGAAAAAGAGCAGTAGACTGGTCCCTCACGGACTTTTACTCCTCAACAATCAGCCAGGAGGTTAGAAATTGATGAAAATTTATTGAAAACTCTTCTGATACGAGATTTCATAGTATCTCCATATAGTCCAGACCTCGCACCATCGGATTACTAATTATTTAGATCCATGACCCCTTTTCGTCAGGCGAAAAAATTTGATAATTTTGCGAAAATTGAAAATGAGGTTCAAGAATTTCAAAGCTATCCCAAAGAATGTTATCGAGCAAATGGCTGGCAGATGGTTAATGACGGTAGTTAACAATGGACGATACTCCTAATAATTAACTGTATTTTATACCAAAAAAATAATAATAGAAATATTTGGTTGAAAAATGTTTTTTTTTTTTTTTTTTATACAACATATTAATTGAGATAAAGATGAACACAGAGTAGTTGAGATTTTTGATATTTGTATTTATTTAAAATAAAAGGGCTAGATCGCATTCTATTCATTGTTTAATATATTTAGATTACACAAATTAAACCACGTTATATTTACACATGTTTTGAAAGGCCTAGACCGTAGGTGGGGAGCCGAGCCTTCTGGGGCCGGATGTTGCTTCTCCTGCGTATTTTCGGCATCCATAGGTTTTTGCGTGATGATTATTAATCTAGCGCTAGAAATAATTATATTTAATTATTTAAGTAACGAAAATTATATAAATTAATAGAATTACGTTGAATGTATGTATGTGGGTGTGTGTGTTACGTGACAAATAAACTGACAACAGTAAAATATAAAGAATAATCGCGGCCTCCATTAGCACTGCCTAACCTTACACTGCTCTAATGATAAAAAGCTTCTCCATCTACGCCCTATACCATGTCCTTCATGGTTTCGGCTCCAATTAGGCATATAGTAATATTCCATTACTTCTGAATCAATACTTTCTTAAGCATGTCAATTTGCAAATTAATACTTTGTTGTTTTCCATTACTTCCAAATTAATATCACCTTACTCCAATTTTTCATATTGTTCTTTTTTAATGGGCCCTACAGTCGTTGTAAGAAGGACCTGGTCCTCTGCCAACACTTACTCGATTCCTCGTAAGTTCCTCCACTCCTCAAAGGTCCCTTTAATTTCTGATCTCCAATCTCCTCAAGTCTTCTTCCAGATCATCTAACCGTCGGTGCCTGTTTTCCTTTTTCCTCCTGGTGCACCATTCAGCATCATTTATGGCGGTCTTTTTTTTTTCTTTTTTTTTGGGGGGGGAGGGGAGGGGTCCTCCCCTTCCTCGCCGTTAAGGCTATACGGGGTTTTCCCGGGCCAAGGAATGTGGGCGGGGATTTAAAAGACTCTCTCGGCACCGGGACGCGAACTCGTGACTATTTTTATATCATTTGATTGATATATCGGTGCTGTGCACACGCGTTAGCCCATTCGGCTACCCCGCCCACGTTTATGGCGGTCTACAGAACTATTTTTTTCAACATTACCCAGCCGTCTGGGTCTGCTCTAAGAAAATAGCACTAAGGATATCAGAACTCACCTTCTCCCAGACTAACTGGGCTCTCATATTTTCTTGGTGAAAGACCACATCTCACTGTTATACAAAATTCTAGTATAATCATCGTTTTATATCATGTTTAAAAAATTTCCTTTTCTGGAGAGACCTTTGAATCGGAGCGTCGGCATAGAAACATCAAGTTCTTGCAACCATTTTGTATTTTATTTGAGCTTTTCTACTATTTTTTTCGGTGACTGCTTCCTATAGTTACTTTAAATTTAGTTTTAACTGCAGTTTTAACAAATGTATACTTTAACGCAGTTCATCGGGGTTGCCGAGGGGGCTAACGCGTGTACAAAACACGCCTTGACAGGAAACCTACCAGGTGAAAAATCCAAGTTTAGAGATATAAATAATAACGAATTGGCGTCCCTGGGTTTTTTTGAACTCTGGCATTAATCCACCGTCCTCTCGCTCGGACCAGGTAAATCCCCGTATAGTTCAACAGACGATGAAGAGGTGTAAAAAACCGGCAGTTTATGGAGACTTTGAGTCTAGGGTAACCCCCATTCAAATGAACAAGTTTGTAATATAATAATAATAATAATAATAATAATACTTTATAAGTCATAATATTTGTATAAGTCATATAAGTCATATAATATTTTATAAGTCATCCCTTAGTTGATACCAATCAATGACCAACTGAGAATTTAAATTTTCATATATGTATTATTTTTTATTTTTAAATTAAACAGCATTGTCTCGAGGAATATTGTAGGTAAAAGTCCCATACATGGAAACAAAAAAAAAAATAATAATAAATAAAAAAAAATAAAAATAAAATTTAAAATAGTTAAGCAAATTATATACTGCTCTGGCCTGTAGATGGAGGTGGAAGAGCAAATGCCATATCCAACTTTCATATCCTTTTTATTCTTAAAATATTATCACCAAGATGTTCTCATTATTAATAATGCATTTATAAATTTATTGATACATTTTATAAATTTACCGGAACACTAATAACTGAATTAGTAGAACTTTAGCTGAGATAAACTTGTTCTTCATTGATCACTTGATATTTTAGTTTTTAAAAACTGCATATCCCAGCGTTTGTAATACCAGACAGAAACATTTTCGCCTTAAACTTGAGTTATTTATCTCTACTGCAAAAGCTCTTGTAGGATTCATAATTTACTTGCTACCAATAAACAATAGAGAATTTTAACTTTTCATACATTTTGGACAAAATCTTGTAGTTTAAAGAGCTCTGACTCAGTATATATTACAGCTACAAGTTTCATATTTGTCCAAGAATAAGGATTCATTATATTAAAAGGATTAGACATATTTGATATTCGAATATTAGCCTCGGCGGTCTCGAATTTAAGGAATGGTTAGAAAGGTAAGACCTTAGGACTAGTAAGTAGTTTTTAGCTTGAAAAGCAAACCGTCGTGCCACATCCGCTTATGCTGCGTTCAGAAAGGCACCTATATTGCTTGCTTTCAAGAACTAAGGATATTTGGTCAACAATGAAACTTTGCTGAACTTTCGACCATCTTGAGCAGAAACCAAAGTGGTGTAAAGTTTTTTTTGGTATTTAAGGGTACAGGAACGATTCATTTGAAGGATTTTTTCAAAAAAATTTGAAAGGATAGTGTATAAGCTTATTCTTCTGCTGGATGAAATATTACTGAAAGATTTACCAGCTTTAAGGAAAAAGATCAGAGGAAAGTGGTTGTGTGGAGGATACAATAGTACAGAAATACATGGAATAAAATTATTAGGATACATTTTATTTATTTTAAATTTGTGAAAAACAATTATTTTTTCATTTCAGAACACACAACTCACGTTTTCAATCACTATATCATAAACATTTTTCAGGGTATATATATTATAGCAAAGTTTCATTTTATTGAGATGATATTAAAACTATGAAAAATGAGTGATAATCAAACATAATTCTTACATCCTCTACTATTCCAAGTAATTTAAATGACTATTTCGGCAAAATTATGTTGTTGTTAACTCAGCAAATAATATTATTTGGGTTGTTTAGTTCTTAAGGTTTTCTATTAATTACTCAAGGGATTGATTCCATTATTAATAAAAACTAAAATAAAGTCAAACATACTGTTTTGCCAACTTTAAAATATCTTAAGGAGACACGCTACAACTACTATTGGTTGAACGAATGAAATACTTAATATAACAGCTGTTGTATGTTTCCTAATATTTTCTAACGATTGATTTTACGAGATAAAAATGCATTTGTTGCAGGCGTTGACGTTGGAAAGTCAAATGAAACACCCAAAAAATTATGGTGGATGGTGTGGAGTATTAAATCTATCAATGATTGCTGTTACCCTACTCAATATATTTGTTGCTTTTTTTGGCTATTTAAAATATGGAGAGGAAACTTTAGCGAGTTTGTCCCTCAATATTCCTCAAGACAGTATGTATGTAACATAATCATAAAATTAACGTTACAAACATACACACCTAAATATATTTAGTTCTTGTTTTTTCTTTCACTTAGTGAAATATGAAATATATTATTGGATATTACAGCTACATTTCGCCAGAGCTGAGTAACTGGAAGAAGCAATTTATATATTTTTTTTATTTTATTTTTTACAATTTCATCGAAAATGGCTCTATTAATCGAAATCGTTATAATAAGGTCGAAGTTAGCGTTAAGCTGACCAACGCATTTCAAGTAAACACTGGACTCGGGCAAAGTGATTCTCTAGCACCGCTGCTTTTCAACATCGTACTACGAACTATAGCAGCAAGAGACCGATTGGATGAGAATGACAATATATTCTACAAAGGCGCCCCATTATTATCATATGTCGATGATGCGGTGATAGCTGGAAGGTTTCTCCTTAATGTCAAAGATGCGTTTCTGAAGCTGGAAAGAGAATTGGCCTAGAGACTATTAATGAAAAGACCAAGATTATGGTTTTAAAAAGTTAGAAACCCTGTATGTGTTATACAGTTGGAAACTACACATTCCAGTGTGCATATAGTTTTATGTATCTTGTAGCATTAGAGAATATTCAGGCACCCCTTCTTCTCGATAGCTCATCTCATGAGCAGTAGACTGGTAAGCCGCTCAATCAAGCTAAAGCTATATAAGACGCTAATTAGTCCAATTGCAACATATACCTGTGAGACGTGGCTCCTTAAACAATCAGTTGCTTTGAAGGTCGACGTCTATTAACGTAAACTATTAAGACACATATCAAGGCTTGTGAGAAGAAATGGAATATCATTTGAGAACTATAATCCTAATATGGCGATATAAAGTTGTCTACTACTACTGACTATACGGCTTCTGAAGTGATTGATTCACCTCTATAGAATGGATGAGGAGAGAACCGTCAAAAGGTTATACCGGGTTATCCGGAAGGAATGTGGGCTTGAGGGAGACCGCGAAGTAGATGGAAGGGCACGTCAGAAGACCTCCGAAAGTATAACATGTCTTTAAGACTAGCTGCGAACCGACAGGACTGGGCTAAAGCGATTGAGCAGGCCAAAGCTCAAATGAAATAACCATTTCATATTGCGTTTATTTACTTTACCCACCATTTCTGACACATAGGATTTTGGCGGTAATAAGATAGTACGTTGGGTGTATGTACGCCCACTACTGCCAATAAAATAATTTATAAAATACTTCAAGATAAACAGTGAGTGTTCGCTTGGCTAATCATAAATAGGCCAACGATCTGGGTCAATGTCTCCAATATTATATTACGTTCATATTTATATGTCACAGGAGTAATACGTCTAACCATGACTGCAATAAAAGTAAATTCGATTACGTACAAGTTCAATAAATATGTACAAATTTAATTAATAAACTTTAAAAAAGAAGTTATAAGATTAAGATCCATATTTGTATTGGGCTTGGCACCCAAAGCATTGAGAACATCTGTTATTATTCAACATTAAAGGAAAGTTTTGTGATGGGAACAATATATTATACACGGTGGGCCAGACCCCCTTACCGCGCACCCTCCCCCCCACATCCCTATAAATTGCATATCGTTGTGTTCCTTGTAACTATTTATTAAAAAAAAGCCAATGTTCCCACAAAAAAAAGTGAACGCACTGCCCCAAAATGGCGTCCAAAGATGGCGGATTGACGACTTTGACTTTAGTTAGTTTTTTGGTCACTGCGAATCAGCATTTGGCTTAATTTCCTCATAGTTGGTCTTTTATTAAAGCTGAATAGTTATAGAATAATAAACCATGAAGAAATATTAAAAAATAATTGGCTTAAGCTATGAAAAACACTACTAAAGTCAATATTTTTAACAAAAAAATTTTCAAGTTAAAAATCAAGCGTCATTTGTAATAAAACGGCCTACAATAACGCAAAACGTGCTGAAACAAACCATCTGGAGAATATATTTTTATTTCCAAAACGCTGATTATTTCTTTAAAACTTTTGAACAGTTCCGTAGAAAATGCACTTATGCGGCAGAAAAGCGGTACTGGCGTGGGTGCCTACAGGCCTCTACCACACCATTCAGTACACATAAATGGCTTAGTTAAAGTGATATAATAACATTTTTGGTACATTAGATTGGTTTTATTAACGAAAAAATATTAATGCAATAATTTAATTGTAAAAAAAAAAAATTAAAATTTTTTTAAAAAATTTGATAATTTTTTTTTTATTTAACCTTCTTTATTCTACACGTAGGTCGTTTAAGAAGACCTTGATTGTAAAAATGATATAATTATAATAATAAAACTTAATTAAAAAACTTTGCTAAATATCTTGATTTTTTTTTTATTTCACGTTTGCAATTTAACATTTTTTTTTGTATATTTACTGATTCTTAAAGGTAATTAAAATTTATATATACTTCCCAGGAAATGAGTCGTACTAATACCTGTTTTATAAACTAAAATAATATATACCTAATCTGAACTATATATAATGAATAGCTGCTGGGTTGTATAGTAAAACTTATATATCACTAATTAAAAAATTAATTTTTATTTCCTTTATTTTGTGCGGAAGTTGGACTATATCATAAATAAATAGGAAATTTTATTATTGAATGAATTATTCTCTCTGCACAAAGAAAGATAGAAACGTTTCAATTTCGCCTTTTTCCTCATTTCAAGACCAAATCCAAACAATCAGTTCTGGCTTATAGAAGAACTTATAGCGTCACCGTTTCTATCTTTCTTTGTGCAGAGAGAATAATTCATTCAATAATAAAATTTCCTATTTATTTATGATATAGTCCAACTTCCGCACAAAATAAAGGAAATAAAAATTAATTTTTTAATTAGTGATATATAAGTTTTACTATACAACCCAGCAGCTATTCATTATATATAGTTCAGATTAGGTATATATTATTTTAGTTTATAAAACAGGTATTAATACGACTCATTTCCTGGGAAGTATATATAAATTTTAATTACCTTTATGAATCAGTAAATATACAAAACAAAATGTTAAATTGCAAACGTGAAATAAAAAAAAAAATCAAGATATTTAGCAAAGTTTTTTAATTAAGTTTTATTATTATAATTATATCATTTTTACAATCAAGGTCTTCTTAAACGACCTACGTGTAGAATAAAGAAGGTTAAATAAAAAAAAAATTATTAAATTTTTTAAAAAAATTTTAATTTTTTTTTTTACAATTAAATTATTGCATTAATATTTTTTCGTTAATAAAACCAATCTAATGTACCAAAAATGTTATTATATCACTTTAACTAAGCCATTTATGTGTACTGAATGGTGTGGTAGAGGCCTGTAGGCACCCACGCCAGTACCGCTTTTCTGCCGCATAAGTGCATTTTCTACGGAACTGTTCAAAAGTTTTAAAGAAATAATCAGCGTTTTGGAAAGAAAAATATATTCTCCAGATTGTTTGTTTCAGCACGTTTTGCGTTATTGTAGGCCGTTTAATTACAAATGACGCTTGATTTTTAACTTGAAAATTTTTTTGTTAAAAATATTGACTTTAGTAGTGTTTTTAATAGCCTAAGCCAATTATTTTTTAATATTTCTTCATGGTTTATTATTCTATAACTATTCAGCTTTAATAAAAGATCAACTATGAGGAAATTAAGGCAAATGCTGATTCGCAGTGACCAAAAAACTAACTAATGTCAAAGTCGTCAATCCGCCATCTTTGGACGCCATTTTGGGGCAGTGCGTTCACTTTTTTTTGTGGGAACATTGGCTTTTTTTTAATAAATAGTTACAAGGAACACAACGATATGCAATTTATAGGGATGTGGGGGGGGGGTGCACGGTGAGGGGGTCTGGCCCACAGACTATTAGTTCTACTGTGGTGCAGCCCGGTGCACCTTACTGATGGGGTCGGGCCGGGCCGCTCCTTATCTATTCTCTGCCATCTTCTCATGCCCCTTCATTTTTGCTCGGCTAGCCGATATCGGGTGGCGGAGCCCTTACCAAGAGTGAAGTGCGAAGGAGCCACCACTTCTTCCACCCGAAGACGGAGTCCCGGAAGTAGGGGTAGCTCGCCTCTTCCATCAGTCGGGGAAATTCCGTTTCGGCGAGGTCGATCTTTCTCGACAACCTGACACGTTGTCCTTCCATGTCCGCAAATTATCTTCAGGCTGTTGTATCCCGATCGGTCCCTCCCAGCATCTATCTATATTGAATTAATCTGGTGGCCACACATCTACGAGAATGCCGAGACTTGTTTCTGATGCATAAAGTAAAAGTACTGGAGATGAAACTATGCAGGAGAAACAAGCACCAATTTCCCATAACCAACCAAACAAGTCTAGTCCTAATAGCAACTAGACCTCCTAAGGATTTAATCTCTCCAGTCATAGCTTACCATGTGCATCAATCAGCAACAATATTTCATTAAAATCATATGGGCCTTCTGCAACCTGAATAGTATGTTCTTTAAAAAAAATTATAATTTCTTTTGTATTTAACATACCTACCGCATCACAAATAGTTGGTTAAGTAAGAGTTTCAAAGTTACACCTGTAGGAATTATCCATAGTAAGCAGATAAATTCGATGGACCTAATGCTTTTGTGGTTTTGTTTCTGCACCACCGAACAGTCTCTGTGCCATCGTTTCTTCTTTCAGATTTATCAAATTAAATTTTTCCGCAAGTCCCTCTTGAAAAATATGATTTTTGTGACCATGTGTCAATCGGGTATCACAGTTCCCCCCGCCCTATGTTCCTATTTTCCGATAAAAGTTCTTAGTAAAACCTACACTCTTAAAAAATCCGTAGAAACTGAAACCTTCTACGCTGTCTTCTTGTCGCATTCTGACTCTTTATTTGAATACTGAGATGGAATTAAATCTAGACAAATAATCTTAGTGTGTTTCCTTCCACAAATTAAACATTGCATCGATTTTCTAAAATATCATGCATTATGACCATTTTCCAAGCAAATAAAGCAAACACCTCTATCTAAAACAA